ATGAAATTACTGCAGTCCTGGTAGTTTTCTCTCTCCCTTTCTCTTACCCATGAGATGGTGTAAAATAAAAGCAAGAAAAATCCATAACGAAGCTCCATATTTCGTAGGCTTGCTTGTGTTTCTGACAGGCTTCCAGTCAGTGCAGGTGCAGGTGCAGGTGCAGGTGCAGGTGCAGGTGCAGGTGCAGGTCTTGGTTAGACAGGTGTGCTGGGTGAGCATCACTTAAACTCACTGCCCGCTTGGAGATGACTTCTTCCACTGTGACCATGTGGACAAGCTAATCTCCAACAAGGGCTTTGCGCCCTGTGACCTGCAGTTTTGTCTGATTTGAGACCTGGGTTTATGATGGGTTCTGGACCCTGAGGGAAATGCTGAGCTCTGGAGGGTGTCCTCTTGTTCCTCACAGCTCAAGTTGGAGGCAGAGGCAGGAAGCACTCACTTACCAAAGCTGTAACTGCTGGGCTCCAACGTTCACTGTGCAAGGCTTTTGGCCCAGATTTGCATCTGCTCACGTGTGGTGTTTAGGTGCCTTGACTTTCTCATCTGGACTTGGAGTGAACAACTGCTCCCCATGGTTAACCCGCATACAGCTGGCTGCCTTCAAAGCTGACTCTGAGGGACGTAGAGCTCAGAAGTCTGTAGTCAGCCACCTGTGAGGGCCACAGGTGCCTTGGACACGGTGGCTGCAGCTGGGGTGGTATCTGTATCTCTGCGCCCATTCACACTGGCTGCAGCTGCGGTTGCTGAGTCTGGACCCAGGGAGTTTGGGCTCAGAATGTTTTCCTGTCTGGCCTGGAGCTGCCTGAGAGGAATCAGTCAGTACAGCTGTCCCTGTCATCCTTCATGTGGGAATGTGTGTGGAGCTGCTCCTGCTGATGGCACCCTCTGCTCTCAGGTTTCCCACGCTGTCTTGGTTACTTTTCTCTCACTGTTGGACAAAATAGCGGACACTCAAGATGACGGAAGGCAACATTTATTTAGCTTACAATTGTACCAGGGATTGAACTCGCACTTTTATGATTGCTGGGCAGGCGCTTATGCTGCTGAGCTAAATCCCTGGCCCCATTTTTAGCTTACAGTTTGTGGAGGTTTCAGTCCATAATCAGCTGGCTCCAAGCCAGGGTGACATGGCACTGGGGCAGCACTTCAAGGCAGCAGCCAGGCCACCCTCTTCCTCCCTTATATTTTATACAGGCCACCCTCCCACCCCAGGGTACCACTGACACCACCTCCAAGCCCTCCTCTTGCACAGGCTCAGGATAGTTACAAAATAAGGATCCTGGATCTCTGCTGAGTCTCTTCCTAATCTTCCAAACTTTTCAGGTTGACATAATGTGTCACCCACAACACAGCCTTGAGGTGGGGGGTTTGGGTCTGCCAGCTTTACGTCTAATGGATTCTGGACAGGGGTGAGCTGTGCTCTGGGCAGGAAGACAATCTCTGAATGTACATCTGCACACACCCACACCTGCACACCTATGCCCATATGTGCATGCTACGTGTGCATACCTACATCTGCACACGTGTACCTGCATATACATCAGCCAAACCCACATCTGCACACACCTACACACACTACAGCCCACACCTGCAGACATCTATAACATACACAGCACACTCAAATACACCCACATCTGCATACACCTGCAACCAGCACACACCCACACCTGCACATACACGGCCATCCACCCCTGCACACACCGCCCCTGCATACTGACACCTGCATGTATCTGCACCTGCACATATGTTCGCCTGCGCACACAGCACCTGAACACACACCTGCACGGGGCTCAGCTGGCTGACATATGACTCATGTTGGTAGAATCTCCCCCCAGCAACTCACTGTTCCGTTATTTGCCAGGGCTTATTGGTTATTGGTTCCAATGCTGAGCAGATGCCTAAAGATCTCTTGCTTGCAGATGAAGTATTTCTGGAAGGCTGATCAGTGGCCATGATAATCAGGGGAAGGACATGTGCAGTAGAGGCCCGGGTCCTCGTGCTTATGGCAGAGGCAAGGAGGCAATTTCCCCCTCCCTTCAAGATTAATAGTGAAGAGTAGCAAAGTGTGCACAGTCTCTCGGCATCAGGTGGCTCTGGCTATGGTCTTGTAACCACCATGTTCATCTGTGGATGTGCAGGCACCAACCCTGGGCCTAAGCAAATCACACGCGTGGTCTCCATGGATCGCTGCATGAGTCTCTGTGTTAGGCTTCTCATTTGTTATTCCCATTATGCAGACGCAGGAAGCAAGGCCCAGGTCACACCACAAGCCAGAGCGCACACTCCCAAACTGGAAATGTTACTCTGACTGCCATTTGCAGCCCTGGCTGTCACAGAGTGGAGACGAAGACCTCAGGAAAGCCATCCAGAGAGGAAGCAGGTTTATGAGCACCGTATTGATTTTCTCAGTGCAGTCAGCCTGGCTCTGGGGGTCACAGGCCTGGGCGAACTCTGGTCTCCTGAGCCAGTCCTGGCTCCCAAACTGACGCTGGGCTGTGATGAGGTAAGAACAGAGATTGACAGTGTGATGCTTTAGCGGGGCTACACAATAAGTCACCACGGTGCTCCCAGCAACCCCTGGGAGCTGCATCTCTCCAACCTCTGCGTCTACTGTCACGTGACTTTCTTCCTGGTTTGCATCTCTGAGTGTGCTTTTCTCTTAAAAGGACACCTGTTATTCCTTCTGCTATGGGAATCAAACTCAGGGCCACTCTACCCTGGAGCTACACCTCAGCCATTTTTAGTTTTTATTTTGAGACAGGGTCAAGTTGCTAAGTGGCTGGGTTGTTCAGACAAGGCTCAAACTTGCAATCTACCTGCCTCAGCCTCCCTAGGTGCTGAGATCCAGGTGTGGGCCACTGCACCCGACTCTAGCATGACACTGTGACTCGTGACCTCTGTGGAGCCTCTTTCCAAATAAGGCCAGACTCTGGGTTCTGAGCGGGCGTGCACTTTTGGGGGACTGATTTTGAGTGAGGCTGCCTGAGATGCCCTGTCTGTGCAGAGGGGGAGACAAGGGTCCCCTAGGAGATACGCAGTGCTGTTGTTTGGGGTCTGCACCACCTCTGGCTCAGTCTGAAAGGGCAGATGACTGCTGGGTGATTTGGGCCAACAGAGTTAAAGCCACCCGCATCCCACAGAGCAGTTCAGCTGACTTCACCCCGAACTTGGGCCCAGGGCTAAGCCTCCTAATCCCATCCCATGTGGCCTGCACTTTGATGCCTCCCAAACCAAAGGTGCAAAACAGACCTGCCAGCAGGGTTTGTTTGCCTGGGTATTTAGGGTTCTTTTTTCCTTTCTAATGAAAAAAAGATTCATTTCCTACTCATTTTCCAGTGAATAACTTTCTAATAAAAGCAGAGCAGGCCCCAGCATGAGGTAAAAGCTCTCATCTAAGAAGAGAGGCCAGAATCAACAGATCAACAGCATTCACAGCAATCCCAGGCTGTTCTTTCCGGAGCAGCTTGGAATTGTTAGTGAATTTGAGTCAGTTTGCTTGACAGCCGAGGTCATCTGGGACAATACCCAGACAGTAGGAGGCTGTGCCTGAAGATTCACATTGCTCCTCTGCCAGCGTCACCTCTTCATGGGGACAACCAGCCTTGAAGTGACATGATAATTGCATGAGGGAGCTGAGACATCTGTAGATTACATAAGGCTGAGGATGGCAGAGATGGGAATCAGGTGTATTTTTACGGGGAGTACCTGCACGGTCCAGGTGCTGTGTTTTAAGTCGATCCCACCCAGCACACATTTTTTGTACCCATTTCCCAGAGGAAGTAACTGAGGCTCAGAAAGGTGAGGTCTTTTGCTGAAACTCACATGAGAAGCCACTGGCCGAGTCAGGGGTGGATCTTTGATCCCTTTGTGTCTGCCCTTGACAAAGAGTCTTTGAGCCTGTGCACTGTCTGGAGTTGGCTGACGTGTTCCTCCTTGAAAGCTATGAAGAACCGTGCCACTGTAAACATGGGTGTGCGTGTCTCCCTAACTCTTCTGGGAAGATACCTAGGAGGGGAGTAGCTGGACTTTCTGGGAGTCACATGGACTTTCTGCTTTTAGTTTTTTAAAGAATCGCCATACTGATTGCCACAGTGGCTGTGTTAGTTTGCATTCCCGCCAGTGGTCTGCAGGAATCTCGCCTCCTCCTTCCCTCCGGCCTCAGGGAATTACAGCTTCCTGCTGTTGCTGACCTCTGGGTGGCCTCACCATCTCCTGTCACCCCATCTTCCTTCGCATCTGAGCAACCAATTCCCTGCATTAAATGCTCTCTGTTGTAAATGGTTCCTGACTTCTCCACTTGATCCTGCCTGAAATGACTATGCTTCTCTGGGCCTTGATTTCCCTGTCTATAAAATGGGGATAATAGCATCATTACCTGAGGTTGCTGGGGATCAAATAAGTTAATCCTACTCAGCCTTCAGCTCAGCTTCTGACATATAATATGAGTGATTTTTCCAGCGTGAAGACCCTTTAAACAGCAAAATTAATCCTCTAGTTATACAGAGGCTTATTGTGTTTTACTCTTTCGAAATGCAGTTTCTGGGTGTGCATAGTACTTAAAACACACTCCAGTGGCCCCGCCTACAGTGCTTTTCCATGCTTCTTTATCCTCATGGAACTGGAAATCTAATTCCTGTTCCCTGCTTCATGAATAGCCTGATGGATACAAAGAAAATGCTGAAGTTACAGAATTTCTGGGGGTTCCCGAATGCCCACCGTCACCATGAAGCACAAGCTCATCTTAGAAATCTGTCTTCATAGATGCCTGGTTTACTGATGCCAAATGTCAATGTATCAGGCTGTTGGCTAATTTTAGCTTTCTCACGGACTGTTTTGCAGACGTGTAATTAATACTGCAGCTCCGCAGAGATTCATACGACTCACTGTCTTGTCCTGTGATCGTGAGACCTTGACCACAAGCACTGAGGTTAAAAGCCCCAAAGGCTCCTGTCTTGATTACTTTTCTCCCGTTGCTGAGACAAAATATCAGACACCCAAAATGAAGGAAGGAAAGGTTTATTTAGCTCACAGTTTGTAGAGGTTTCAGTCCATAATTAGCTGGCTGCAAGGCAGGGTGGCATGGCACGGGGGCAACACTTCAAGGCAGCTGCCAGCAAAAGGCCGCCAGAGAAAAGTGGGGAAGAGCGAGCCTCTTTCCCCCCCTTATGCTGCCTGCAGACCAATGTCACAATGTGAGGATATTTACAAAGATCCCGGCTCCCTGCTGAGTCTCTTATTACAGTTCTAAACTGCTCAAGTTGACACAGTGTATCAACCCTAACAGCTCCCAGCCCTCCCTGCTCCCCGCTACTTGTCCCATTAACAGGGATCCTTCTTGGTTGCATCTGAGAATTCTCACAGGGATTCTGTTTTCCTGGCCATGCCTGGGGGGAAATTCTGTAGGGATTTGTGCGATGTCTCGCCTGGTGATACCGTTCAGTTAGCCTCAGAGTCAACAGAGGAGGTGAGATGAGTGTAGCGGATTTCACTGAAGGGTTGGGGATGGTGGGCTGGACCACAGCTCAAGACAAACCTGAGTAATCAACACTGACTTGCTTCAGTCTGGCAGCTACCAGAACCTTCTTCCTGAGCTCTCCGCTGCTGCTGCGTATTCCCGCCATCAAGGTGCCCCTTCTTTCCTCTCATTTAATGTTTGCTTCTTAACCTTCCCTGGGACCTCAGCCTCCAGACTGCAAATTCTCACCACTTTTGCAGGAGTGAACAGTGTTATTTCCACTGGAATTCTTCCCAGGCATAGACGGAGCCGTCTTTGTTTGGAAGATTGCTTTGGGGAGAGTTTGGGGAAGGTGTGCACTTTCTGTCCCCTCACCCCAGTCTCACTCTAAGCTCCAGAGGGTGGAAGGGGAAAGAGAGGGGAAGAGGAGGCGAGGTCTCAGCAGGCTGGAGAGAGGTGGGTGCACGCAAAATCCCAGGAGGTGTCTTGGGATTGGATGTCTTCAGTGGTCACCAGCCATTGCTTATGCTGCACTATTTATATATCTTTGTGAAACATTTGGCTTAAGAGGAGGTTGTTAAATTCTTTATTCTTAAATTTTGTTATTATTTTGATTATATAATCTATAGAGTATAGTGTAACGATGCCGTACCTGCATACAGTGCAGTGAAAAAAGCCTCCTGCTGTGAGTAGATTCGCATGGGAAGCTGAAGCAGAGCTGGTGTGATGCTCATGTAGCTGAGCAGCATCGATGGCACCTGGAGCCCAGGTCCTGGGAGGGCCATGAGGAAATCAATATCTGGCATAAGTGGAAATTTAGGGAGAGGAATATTCTAGAATGTTCCGGAATGTGCGGAAGTCTAGGGGAAAGACTTTTCTCTTCCTCCAGGGATACAATTGATGAGAATTTTATGAAAAGATTGATGAGGAACACAGCCAGAAACAGCTGGCATTCTCAGACTGGGTTATTCAAGGAGAATTTAAATGTAAAGCTAGCTGTGTACAAAACTAAGCAGATTCAGGAACCACCAGGAAACCCCGGCCTAGCCTGGGCTGTCACCAGCCAGGGTCCCTCCGGTCCGGGGGACAAAGCCGGGTTCTTTGCTGGATAAACACTGCCTCTGACCTCGGGGTTGTGCGGGCCCAGGGCGCTTGGGGCGACTGTGGTGCATGCTTTCATTTTTTAATCAATGCTGTAGCAAACTCTTCTACTCTTAGTGGCTTAAACCATGCAGATTTATTGTAACTGTGATCAGAAGCCCAGAATGGGACTCTCGGGGCAAAAATCAACGTGCGGGCAGGGCTGTGCATGTTGTAGGAAACCTGGGGGGATTTGTTTCCTGCCATCTGCTAGAGGCCCCTACATGCCCTGGGCCCGCAGCCAGCAGCCCTACCACCACAAGGTCTTGCTTCTGCTCTCACACAGCCCGGCTTGTCCATGATCTAATCGCCCTCTTAGGAGGGCAGAAGGGGGTGTTAGGGATTAAAAACTAGTGGTCAGTTTAACACCACCTGAACTGAGTCAGCATGGTGCTGAGTATAGATGGCCCACCCCAGGACAGTGGCCAGTAGAAAAGGGGACGTGGAGAGGAAGAGAGGTGCTGTGGGTTCTCCTAAGTGTTGCTGTTTAGAGCCATTGGTTCTCCCAGAGGAGCTCGTCATGCTGGCTTCCCCATGTGAACTGGGCCGTTATCATGGAAGGAGCTCAGGACCTTGTCACTGAGAGTGGCTGCTGCACTCTTCCGGGGAGCCCTGGCCCTTGGTTCGAGTGTTGCTTCTTGGCTCCGGGGCAGCACCCTCAACCTACTGGCACAAATCCTTCACCCCGCTGGCACAGACTGTTTAGCTTCCACTGCTGACCTTCAGGCCTTCCCAGCGCAGATCCCTACAACAGACTTGCATGGGTCACTGTCGTGGGCTCTGGGCCTCCAGGTGGACTCACGGGAGGCACCGTCACGAGCTCTAGGTCTTCAGCTGGACTCACGCAGGACATTGCTGTGGGATCCAGGCCCTCGGCTAGATCTTCTAGGTCTGTAGTGTTGCGGACAGATTTCCTGCACTTTCTTGTATTTAACTCTGGGTGATCATTATAAAATAACGTGACAAATTCTGTGTCCTGTGCACAATTGCTATCCACAACCCTTGACTACAGCAGGTGCGTGGGACACACGAGGCCCCACATGCACTGGTCTCCCACACACTGACCACAGACACACTGCTGGGCGTGTGTCACGCATCCCTCACCCAAATGAGCTTCCTGACGCCAGAGCTGCAGGATTCTCTCCAGCCCCACACTTGGAGCTACGCTCTCTGTACTGTTTGGTGTTGCTACCGTATTTCCAAGCATGTCAGCTCCCCGGCCGTGGGGTAAGCTGCTGACTGTAAAGCAAACACATTCTTTTTCATATCCTGCCGGCAGCCTCCCAGGGGCTATACCCATAGTAGGTGCTCAACAAATGTTGTGGTTGGATGTCTCTCTACTCACAGGGCTGCTTTGTGTGGTTAGGCTGGAGGAAGCATTTGAGGTTTTTTTCCCAAAGGTAGTAAGGAGCTCCTGAAAATGCAAAGCTTACATAGAGAAGTGGGGAAGGCTTTGAACTTCCAGGTTCAAGAAGCGACGGGGAGGGAAGCTTGAAAAATGCAGGTTGGGGGACAGGTGAGATTTCACGGGGAGTTGTGGGCAAGGATTTCTTCTGATTTGTTTCCATCAACACTTTATAATAAAGGCGCACACACACGCTTTCACACGTAGTACCTGTGCCGGATTATCTTTGTAACCCCTGAAGTGTCTAGTACTGTTCTCACACATAGCAGGTGTTAATTAAAACGAGTCACACTAAGCTTGGTAAACCATTTGATCTTGACCACCCTAGGCTCCAGGTTCCCTGTTTGTAAAACAAAAGGGTTAGACCCTCCTAGCTCTGTCTTTCTGTGGTTCGGAGTTTAGAATACGCCATCTTCTCTTCATGGAGACCATTTCCCAGAAGACCTATATTTTGAGGGAAAAGGAGACCAGAAGATTGAAGATTCCTCCTTGCTCTGAGACTTTTAGATTTATAGCTGCTTCTCACAGTTACCAAGCATCTCTGAGCACTAGAGACTGTTTTCAGGCCTTGTGAGTTGCCTTATCAAATCTACAGTAATCCTGTAAGCAAAGCTTCTCTTATTAGCCCCATTTTCCAAGTGAGAAAACTGAGGCTCAGGGAGTCAGCTGGCTAGCCCGAAGTTATACACATATACACATCCCAGGGTAAAAGACATTCCCATACAGAGCCACAGTTTGGTTTTCAGCATTGCTATAACATCATCTGATCCGCAGTCCACTTTCAAATGCCCTTAATGGCCCCAGTAATGATCCATTTATTTCTGCCCAGGATGCAGTCCTGATTTCTGCCCTGCACTGAGTTGTCACTGCACCTTAGCATCCTTTAATCTGAAACATCTCTCAATTCTTCTTTGTCTCTTAGCTTTGACACTTCTGAAATGTTCAGGTTTTGTTTGGGTTTGAATCTTAAACCTCCCCTCAAAGGCTCACATGTTAACGGCTTGGTCTCAGTGCAGTGACATTCAGAGGAGGCACCCCCACAGATAACTGGACTCATCAGCTGATAAGTTCAGACACAGATGAGTCCATACCTGGAGGGATCGTCCAGTTGGAGAAACTAGGTCAGGGAAGGGTATATCTTGTCTCCAACTTTTGTGTGCCTCTCACTCTGGCCACCATGAGGTGAGCAACCTTCTGCATAATGTTGCCAGCCTAAAAACAGTGGAGTCCGCTGACCATGGACTGAAACCCCTTAAACCATGAGCCTCTCCTCCTTTAAGTTACTGTTCTCAGGTATTTTGTCACAGTGGTGGGAAGCTGACTTATTCAGAGCTGTTACTTTACAGAATGCCTTCAGACTGGCCTTCCTGCTGCTTCCCTGCAGCCGATACAGAGTTTGCATTTGGGGCAGCAGTAACGTAGACGGATCCTGCCTTCTCTGTGCATCACACCGGGAGGAACCCGCTCTTGTGTGTGTCATTCCTGGTGAGATTGGTTGCCCATGGTTAGCAGGCGTTTCCGTTGGCAGTCACAGTTTCCCCTTTGTAATGAATGTGTAATTTGTGGGAGACACTTTGCGATTGATGATTATCTTGCTATTTGTCCAGCTAACCAGTTAGTTTTAGCCTCCACAGAAGGCTTTCTAACGCCACCATTCCTGTGACATTTTTGGCTTGGCTTGGCGCCCCCCTTCATTTCCTCGCACTTATTCACCTTGTTATGGACTTGGGGGCCTGTCACAGCCTGTGCCGGTCCGTCTCCCACTGCTCCTCTTTGTCAGGAGAGCTGTCATTGCTCCTTTGTTCTGTCATGAATTCATCTTACCTTTTCACTCTTAGAAAATCCAAAGGGTTTCAATACCTGGAAATATTCAGTTTTAACCAGAAAGGAGAAAACTCTTATTTCTTCTCTTTAGGAGGAGGGTAGGAATCAGGATTTTTAGGAACCATCCCTAGGTCCTTGGGGAGCTTGGGACAACTTCAGGAGCCTCCAGGAGCCAGGCTTTTCCCTGTCCTCCCTCCCCCCCGTCCCTCCGTGCAGGTGATTGGGAGGAGAAGCCAGCATTTGTGCGATTTTCTGGTGGCTGCCATGATTGTGGAGCCTCCCCACCTCTGTTCCTAGTGCTCAGTACCTCTTCTAGAAGTATCAAGTTGATGACCTCCCTCAGGGAACCCCACGAGGGTCACCCAACCTGCCCTCCATCGTCACTGTGCTCAACATCTTTCTCCTTTTTCTCCTAATAAAGTGATGCTGTTGGACACCTACTGTGTGTTTACCATGAACAAGACACGTGCGATCTGTTCCCGAGCTCTTCTGTGGCAAACGTACACCAAACACAGCACAAATAAAGGCAGGCTCTCATTAGTCAGCTTTCTGTTGATGTGATGCAAGAGAAAAATGACACAGAGGAAGAAAGGCCTACGTAGTTCATGGCTTCAGAGGGTTCAGGCCATGGTTAATTGACTCCATTGCTTCTAGGCCTGTGGGGACAGAACTGTCACGGCAGAGGGCGCCTCTGCACACAGCTGCACGGGGGTCTTCAGCAGCTGAGCTCTGGGGAACATTTCAGATCCGGGCCACTGCAGGCACAAATCCTGCTAAGTTTCTACTTGAGGAAAAAAGTGCACACATCTGGTACAAACGAAGACGCTGAGCCCCTCCGGCCAGCAGTCAGGGTCAGGGAGGGTTCAGAAGCTGGACCTCCGGAGGCCACTGTGCCTCCACTGCTCACCCAAGCAGCGTGGCCGAGCCGAGTCTAGAACCGCTCTGGGCTCCTAATATGCAGCTCTGAAGGAGCAGAAACATCCACCCTCTCAGCCCGCCAAAGCCTTAACTTACTACAGTGTGGGACTCTGTCTCCGTGTGAAAATAAGGCCCAGCGGTGTGGACCAGGGAGGAGGGGGCTTCGCAGCACCTGTCACCTTGTCTGCACTGGGACTTTCTGCTCTGTCTCAGGTTCCGTTTCTGACAGCAGGTTTTCCGTCTTGCTCTAGCTCCATCTCAGTGCTTCTGCTGGTTTCTGTCTCCGTGCAAGTCTCAGCCTCACCTCGCGTCACCTCCCGCCGTCCTCTCCTCCCCTCAGGCCTCCCACTCCGCATCCCAGACAGGCTCAGTGACTTGACTCGTCCCCCGAGTGCCGCCTTCTCCTGCCCTCCCACCTCTGCACCCGTCGTTCGTGGGCCCCGGAGCAGTGCTGTCTGGGCTGCTCCCCAAATTTCCACCCACCAGCTTCACCCTGGGTGTAAATGTCACCGTATTCTTTGAAAAGTCCCAACTCCACGGGGCAGGGCATTTTGAGACTTGCTTTCCTGAAGGCTGTGACCTCAATGTTATGTCCCCTGATGACTCCTAAGTTCATATATTGCAACCCTGGTCCCCAATTCTAGGCCAGACATTTTTCCTGCCTCTGCTGTTAAGCTATTGATCCAGCAGCACCCGGCCCAGCCCACTGGGAGCAGAAAAGCATTTTGTCTCAGGGGAGTGGGAGGAGGTCCGTGGGGTGAGCTCTCAACCACATAGATGCTGGTCACTTTCCTTGGTGTGTGCTGACAGTAATCTTAAAGATGGGCCATTTTCCTTTCTGGAACTTTGGCTCTCTCAGCTGTAAAGGCAGGCAGTACTGGAACTCAGTACCTTTCAATTCCCTTCCTTCTCAGACTTGAGGAATCAGGCCTCCTTGTAAGACTCCAGAGAATTTCCCTCTGAAAGGAGCCACCTCTGAAATAGCAATCGCCTTGGTTTCTAGCTCATCCCTGAATGAAGCAGCTGACACATCTTTTTCTGATAGAAATCAGCCATTTGCCAATGCTGCGTCCACACATGCAAAGCTATCTGGCAATTAATTAAATCGGTAAATTATTGTCATACAGATCACATTAGCAGGCCCGAAAGGAGAGATTACATCTTTCAGAAGCAAGCTTAGAAATTAATGTCTGCCATCTTTTGAGGAAGGATTTATTTATTTTTTTTAATCTCTCAACCAGACTAATAGTTTGTTTTCAGTGAAAGCTCCCGGAAAAGATCTATTAAAAACTAGGATTTACCATATGCTGAGTCAGTCTTTTGCGTTCCCGTTCTTTTTCCTGGAGGAATCCAAAGGGCTCCAGATGTCCGGATCTGCAGCACAGGTCTCGCAGCGGAGCGGGTGCTGAGTAACGCCTCCCGTCTGGTCGCTGCAGGGAGCAGCACATGGCGCAGAGGAGGCGGCGGAGGTGCAGGAGTCCGCTCCGGACGGACGGAGTGCGCTCTGTCTCCCTGATCCCGGACAGCTGCTGCCCGGGTGCCCACCACCACGTCACAACACTGCAAGTTTACATTTGTAGGATGAGCCTACCCGGGACCATGGCCAAGCCAACACCAGCAAGGGCTTTGTAGTAGGGTAGCTGTTTTCTTTGGGTTCTCCAGAAGTGGACCCCAAGTGAAGAATTCAAGGGCAATATGGTGCCAGGGACCTTGGGGAGGAAAGAGAGGACAGGAGAAGGAGACAGAAAGGAGAACCTAACAGGTGGGTCACCGGCCAGGGTTAGGGCTGGTAGGGATCACTAGCTGGTTACTGCTGTGGGCAACTGGACTTTCATCCCATCATGCAGATGTGAGAGCTGCTGACAGACATGCACCCCGAATGTGCCACTGAAAGGGGTTGTCCATGCACTGGTCCTATCGTCACTGGGTGTAGGTTGCTCCTGGGGATGTCCTCCGATTCCTCACACTTCCTGGGCAAGGGTAGAGTGTGGGACCTGCGAGGTGCGAGGGAATATCCCACAAGTCCTGGTGTCCGCGAGACCTTCTCTGGACGTGATGTGCCAGCTTTCTCTGCATTTAGCCCCTGGAGGATGCTAACGGAACCCCCTCCAGGATCCTGCAGGGGGAGTCTGTAAGCTTGGGCCTGAGCTCAGCATCAGAATCCTGCTCCACCTTCTGGCCACAGTCATGGGCTCAGGGCGAGCACACTGGTAATTCTCGAACAAGCAGAGGAGACTTGGGAATGAGCTCTGCTCTTCTGAGGGAGATTCCAAAGGCTTTTTTGGAAGGCCTGTCTCTGGATTGGGAGCGGTCGGGGCCACTCACTTTAAGGCCTCAAAGGAGAGGTAGGTGGGAAGATGGAGCCAGCTGCACAGAAGTCAGGAGAGGAAATCAAACTCTCTCCGTGGTGGCGCTGGATAGAGCCTGGGCCCTTCCGGGGACTTTGCTAACTGCAGCCAAGGAATCCCCTGACTATTTACTCCAATATGAGAGTTTCACTGTTTGCAACTCTAACCCCCCAGGTGATTCCCACGAGCGCAGCAGTTTGAGTGGAGGCTGGGGAGGGAGGACTGGGCTTCCTTCCATGCTAGCGGCTGGAGGATGACACGTGGGGTCTGTCTTGGGGCCCCAGGACAGCAGGGACTGTGCACCTTCCCTCTGGCTTAGTCTTACAGCATTGAGAGGTTTCATTCCTTTCTGAGCCTTGGTTTCCTGAGGCTTAATACTAGGCAGCTTTCCAGTTACAGGAACAAAATACCTGTAATTTAAGAGAAGAGGTTTATTAGGCTCATGGTTTCAGAGGGTTCCGTCCAAGGTCAGCTGGCTCCAAGGCGGAAAGGGCGGGGGGGGGGGGGGGAAGCTGCTCACAGCATGGTAGCCAAGAAACAGACACAGAGAACGGGGAGCTGGGGACGGAAACACAGCCTTCCAGGCCACATGCTCAGCGACTGTCTTGGTTACCTTTCTCTCATTCCTGGACAAAATACCCGAGGCCCCAAATTAAGGAAGGAAAGATTTATTTAGCTCAGAGTCTGTGGAGGTTTCAGGCCATCATAGCTGGCTCCGAGGCAAGGCGGCATGGCACAGATGCATCACTTCATGGTGACAGAAGGCAGCAAACGCAGCAAGAGTAAAAGCGGAGAAAAACTATCCTCTTTCTCCTTAGACTATCCAAACTACCGCCCTTGGGTGGGTAAAGCTCCCACAGTATCTCCCTGCCCTCCTCTCCCACAAGATGAGAGGTTTACAAAGCAAGGAGCCTGCGCTGGGCTGAGCTGCTTAAACTCCTGAATTGCTCAAGTTTGCATATTTAGTTAATACAAGTTGATACAATGTGTCTGCTATTACAGCCACAGAGCTCCAGCCAGGCCCACCTGGAACAGCACATTCAGCCAGGAGCTCCTCCCAGAGTCTGCTCAGTGAGGAGTACAGCCCCCCACAATTCAGTCACCTGCCGAACATGAGACTTTTGGGTAACATTTTAAATCAAAACCAAAACAGTATGAAAACACCAGCCACCTGGGGTTGCTCAGAAGGGAAGAGGTACCAGCCCCAGCACACGGTCTGTGTCCAGGAAATGCCTGTGCTGAGGGTGAGTCCTGGTATGGAGAGGTGTGGGCGCGAGGCTCAGAAGCCTTAAGGATGGGGACGCTTCGGGACTCAGCGGACAGCGCTTCCAGGAGTTCATCGTCTTTGTAATCAGATAAGTGAGATTTTCTTTGCACCAATAGTTAACTTTGTGTGTGTGTGGGGGGGGGGGGATTAAGGAAGAGGAGGAGGAGAAGAAGGAGAAGAAAAAGCCACCCATGTTCACCAATACCGGGGTCACCATATGGCCAAGATGCCCTTCACATACCCCCTGGCCTCAGACTTCTAACGGTGGGGCTCGGGCGTTGGTTTCCGTGACTGCTTGCCTTCTTAGTGGAGTATTTTTTTGCATATTTAGTTAAACAGTAGCGCATAACACTTTGGTATAATCAGAAGACAACAAAGCTCTCTTTTAAAAACACAAATGAGGTTCGATTTCCCTGATCTACTAAATTATCAACTGATTCATTTTTTTCTGAATATAAAATAAGCTTTCGTGATTTTCCACAAAAGGTATAACTCACAGAAATGGCCTCTCTTTCTCTCTCTGTGTCCTTATCTCTCCCTCTTTCTTCTCCTATTCCTTCCTTCTGTCCTTCCTTGCTTCTCCTCCTCTTTTTCTCCTCTTCCTCCTCTTTTTTTTTTTTTCTGGTACCGGGGATTGAACTCACGACCACGCACTTGCCAGGCAGGCGCTTATGCCGCTGAGCTGAGCTAAATCCCCGGCCCCTGTCCTCCTCCTCTTTGATACACGGGTTTTATTGGACAGTCTTCTTTGTTGTTTTCGTGTTTAAATCTTCACACACGTCACCCCCCACGACCCTCCCCTTCCTCTTCCTCCTCTCACGGAGTGACAGTCACCCTCTACTGGGAACCAGTTTTCCTAACCATTATTTATTTCTCATTACTAAAGTGATACAGGTCCTTAGTAAAAATTCAATTACAGAAATCTGCAATTCAGTGTCTGTGCTTTCTACACTCACCCGTTATGGCACTCCTAAACCAGACATATTTACTTTTAGCTTTTCTGTGCATAAACTTACCGCAGCGTGTGTTCTCTGTTGTGTGTGAATGCGTACTCTTTCATATCTCCTTCTAGCCATTGGAAATTCACCCCTTTGACTGATAGCCATTCACAAGGCATAGAAATGCTGCGTCACGTGGAAAGGCACGTCTTAATTTCAAAAAGCAATTTGAAAAAAATGTGTTTATTAAGATCAAAGAACTAGAATGTATACAGATGACTCTTTTGGTACCCGGGATTGAATTCACGACTTCATGCTTGGCAGGCAGGCAGTGTGCCACGGAGCTGTATCCCCAGCCCGGATGATTTTTTCTTTTAGAAGGTTATCATTTATGCCCAGTAAAGGTGCATAGATCCTGTGTATACAGTGCCTTACTTTATAAAACCTTTGACAATGTGCTCATTCCCTGTCTCTTCCATTTTTTAAACAGTTAGTATCATCATGACGATATGAACACTGACTTTCCCAGTCCCCTCTTGATGGGCATTTGGGTGATGGTCAATATTGTTTGCTGTTACAAACAGTGCAGTGAATGTCCTGCACTTACCTTGTAACTCAGGGCAGAGATTTCTCACAGCTGGGTTGTCACTGATATCTAAGTAAGATCGATTTGGTTGTATGTTTCAGGCGGGATGCTCAGGAGATGTAATCTCTGTTCTCAGAAGGGCCCCAGCTGGACGAGCATCACCTTTCCCGTGCCCAGTTTGCACATTAACCTTCATGCGGGGAGGAGGGTGGTTCTAGACAGAGCCCATGTGATTCCTTCTCCCATCTCCAAATGTGCACCCGGGTGGAAGCTGACCTGTGATACAGCTCCAGGGTCTGCACGGATTCACACCCTGCCTGTTCAAGGCTGGGCTCTTCTGATCTCCGGGACACTGTTGTGAATATTGGGCCAGCATTCTAGGGACAGAGACCGCTCTAGGGAGCTAAGGAGCGAGGCAGAAAACCCAAGTGGACCACTTCCTGCGGCCCCCTGGCAACCACAGAGGCTGCTGGGAGCCAGCACCCAGGCACCTGCCTCAGGAAGAGCCCTCCCAATGAATAGTGTGAGGGTTATCACTGCCTTGTGTCTGATCTGTAAGGAATGTGTTTCTTGATAGAACCCGGAAGGCAACTGGACTTAACAACTTCACAGAAATGGACCCCAAAGGCAGCAAAGGCTAGATGTGTAGGTCAGGGACCTGAATTTGAATCCCTGCTGTGGTCAGCTGAATAATGGTCCTCCGATGACCCTGAACACCAGAGATATCATGCATGTGACAAAATTAAAGGTATCAAGGTGGGAGGTTCAGCTTGTTTTTTTATTTTAAAGAGATTAAGACAAAAGAGGACATAACAAAGCAGATCAGATCAGAACAATGTAAGCAACACAGCATTTTACCTCAAGTCAACCCATAAATAATAGTAGCTACCATAATGTCTCTTTCTTTGAAATAGTTGAGCATAAGTTCATATAGGGTAGTATCAAACAAACAAAATAGTGCAAAACCATTCAAGAAATGAAAGTATTACAGGGCATTCAGAACCAAATAACAGAGAGCAAACAATGGCTACTATATTGTCTCATTTTCCATAGAAAATTTGTTTATTCTATCACACATAAAATCCAATAAGATATAATATGATAGAACCAATGGAAACAGAAGAACAAAAGCATTGTAGGACTTCCGAGTAAGGTGATATTACACCAGCACTGGCTATTATAATGTCTTGTTTTCTTCAAAATAGCTGTTCATACCATCACAGATAATAAAATTAAACAAACTCAGCTTGGATTCTTGAGGGCGAGGAACAGCAAGCCTCCCTGTGAAGGAGGAGCGCAGGAGGAGCACGGTGGCAGCAGGAGATGTGGCAGCAAGAATAGTCGGGTCGTGTGCTGCCGTGACCTGGGGATGGACGGCCGCCTGCAGAAGCTGGGTAGTAAAGAAATGGGTCTCCCCCAGATCCTGCCGGAGGACCGGCTCTGCCCGTCCGTGCGGACTGCTGACCCTCCGAGCTGTAACAAGTCTGTTCTGTCACCAGGTTTGTGGTAATTGACGGCAGTAGTGACTGAAAACTAACACAGCAGGCCGTCTGCTTTCTGCAGTTGACCTCTCCGAGCCTCAGTTTATCATCTGTAAAATGAGCTCAGTGATGTCTCTGCTGTGCTTTGTTTTAATTACTGGAGATAAAATATTTAAAGTGTCTGGAGCATCACGAATGTCAGGCAAACAAACAGAAAGCTTTATGATTATTATATTGATAACACAGTTTCTCTGCATAATAAAAGACTTGATTTAAAGTGCTTTGTAAGGACATAAACCAGTGACAAAGTAGAAGTAGAGGTTTTGATCGGTATAAAATTAGATCAGGCCGGAAATTCAGTTCAGGAAGAAAACCACATGTGTAGGCAATCGGGATTTGAGCAGTGAGCTTGACATTTGAGCTTCCTGGCTGGCAAAGTGAAAAAGGAAGTATGTCACACGTTAGACTTCTAATACCAGAGGCAAGAGCCTCGTTACTCAGTGATAGCAAAGCTCTTTTAGGACCGCAAGAAATCTCTCCCTGTGTTTTCCCACTGGCATCCTTAATGCAACCAGAGTCAGAGGACTTTGTCATTATTTAAATCTGCCCCCATCTACTAGACTGGTTGGCCTCCCTTCCGAGTACTAACCAGGCCCGACCCTGCTTAGCTTCCGAGATCAGACGCTCAGACGCGATCAGTCACGGACAGGGCAGGAGGGTCATAGACCAGACTAAGTTATTCTCAATGCTGGGATCACACTAAAATCAACCGGGATGCTTCAAAGATATCACGGCCGGTTCTTCCTCCAAATAATTACACTAACAGCTCCAGGAAGGGAGCTGGACATCGGTATTTTTCAGAGCTTTCCAGGCTTCTGGTGGCAACCAGGGTTGGGAAACCACCCACCTGCACCATTAGTACTTGGAGGGGGCAGTCAGGTCCCTACTTCGAGCTTTTTATTTTTAATGTTATTTTATTTTATTTTATGTTTCCCCGGGGAAGGTCCCCGGGAGGTACTGCAATACCAGGTCGACACATGGAGTGCACGGAGCAAGCTCCTATTCCATCTCCCAGCTCCAAAAATCCATGTAATGTATTGTTCTCGGATAGAGGACGTATCAGATATTAAACTGGTAAGAACAGGTACTACACTCGACCTCAGCCAGAAGGCTGAGAAGTGATTAAATTTTGTTTTAGAGAAAATGAAACCAAGCAAAATAAAACAATAAAGCCAGTCCAAACAAGACAGGGTGAGTGACACAGGATTTCAAAACAAGGAAATAGGAAGTCAACAATGGTTATCATAAAGCCTCTTGTCTTCAAAATAGCTGCCAATACCTTCAGACATAGTAACATCAAACAAAACAGTAGAAGCCACAAACACAAAATAATGAATGCAGTATAGGACTTCAAAACAAGACAACATTAAATCCAAATACCGTAATATAACTTGTTATCTTTGAAATAGCTGCCCATGCCTTCGGATACAACAAAATTGAACAAGATAAAAATAGAATGAAACAATGAGAATGATACAGGATTTTGAAACAAGATAATAGGGAGCTAACAATGACCACCACCTTCAGAGGAGATTTCCCCCATAGACGCTACGTTGTATATTGTTCTCCGCTGCATAGCTGATCAGACTACCCGCTTTAGGCCTGCAAAGTCAGTGCAACACTGAACAGTGTAAGCATTAAGTTGTATTTTACCTCATTAGCTATCATCGTGGCCTGTGTTTCTCCAGATCAGCCAGTCGCTTTTAAGGGTCGAGGAGTGGGAGGAAGTAACCTCGGCTTTTGTCTCCTTGCGGGAAGGGCTGGTGTCTGGCTCTCTCCTGGTCAGCCAGTGCATGGTGCCGACTCACAGGAGGTCTTAGCTTCTTGCTGACCTCTTGTTCTCCTCCTCCACAGTCTGTGAATGGTGCACACTCACAGGAGAAGGCTGGCCTCTGTTCCTGCCCGGATCACCCCCGGCATGACCCTCCAACACAGCGTAGCCTAGTGCCTGCTAGGTAGGTGCTCAGTGTGTACTGTTGGTTATTGTTATTATATTCCAGATTTTATTTTATTTATTTATTTATTTTTGTCTTTTTGAGACAGGGTCTCTATGCAGTGCAGGCTGGCCTTGAGCTCACTTTGTAGCCCAGGCTGGTCTCGAACTTGCAGTGATCCTCCTGCCTCAGCCTCATGAGTGCTGGGATTACAGGCATGAGCCACTATGCCTGGCTTATATTTCAGATTTTAAAAGCATCAAAAGGTAGGCAGGAGAAAACCTTACCCTGTCCTCTGTCCACCTGGTCTTCACCTCTCCCAGCTCCAACGTGACCATCATCACCACAGATCCTTCCAGAACATCTTAACACAAAGATGAGTAGAACACATTACCCACATAGGTGCACACACACAAACATGCGTGTGTAAGGACAGGGTGAGCTTTGCTCCCTCCTCTGCTCTGAGGGTCTGACACTCCCACATGGTTGCCTTGGCTCACAGCTAGAGGAGTGCTCTTCCTTGGACTTGGTCATGTGACTTGCTTTGGCCAATGCCATGTTGGTTGCCACGTGGGAGTATCCTGCATTGTGAGATAGATGTGTTTTCCCTACCCCAGGATGGGGTGAATGGACCCAAACTGGACCTTAGCTGCAGCCTGGAGTCAAGGAACCCCACTGAGCCCCCCATGATCAGCTGAGCCCCAACTAGCTCTTAGATCCATGAGCATAAGATTGTGTGATTACCAATCAAAGTTTTGGGTTGGGTTTTAGGCAGAATTATTGTGAGAATAGCATATTCTCTGTGCCTTATTTGCCAGTGTATCATGGAAATATTTCTATATAGGGAATTTCATTCTGCTTTTAAAATTTTGAGATGGGAATTTAAGTCACTAAGTTGCCTAGGCTAGGCTTGAACTTGGGATGCTCCTGCCTAAGCCTCATGAGTGCTGGGATTACAGGCATGTGCCATCACATCCAGTCCTCATTCTGTTTTTTTAAAATCTGTATCAACTGTCACTGTTTGTATATACTTGTCTCCTACACAGAGGCATGTAGGTTTAGCTCATGATTCTGTAGTAAATAATCTTGGCCATACATCATTTTGTACAAGTCCAAACATCTTCGTCGGATAAATTTCTCAGAAGGATAATTGCTCTGTCAAAAAATATGTGCATTCCTAATTTTGACAGATATTGTCCAATTAGGCTCTCTAAGAACATGCCTGGGGAGCTTTTAAGAATGCCGAGCTGCCACCACCTTGCCAACACAGTGTACTATAAAGCTTTTTGCCTGGTCTGACTTAGACCTAAAACATGCTCCCCCATCAAAAGCCCATGTATTCAGAGGTGGGGTTTTTGGAAGGTGATTGGCTCATAAGGTAATGACTTTACCTGTGGATTAGTTTATTAATGAGATCATAAATTGATGACAAGTAGAAAGTAACAGGTGGGACCCAGCGAGGGAGTGGATTGTGGGGTGTGGTCTTGGGGATTCTATTCTTCCTCCCTCCCTCACTGTCTGTCTGTCTGTCTGTCTGTCTGTCTGTCTCTGCCCCTTTCTCTGAAAGCCATGAGCTGGGCAGATGTCCTCACCGCACCCTCCTGCCGTGGCGTTCCTGCCTCACCACACCCTAAAAGCAACAGATACAGAAAATGTGGCTCTGAGGAGTGTGCCTACCACTGTTTCAGCCACAGAGCGGAATCTGGATGTTAGAATTGCTTCTCCAAGATGGTAAATGATCATGGCGGCTTTCGGCCCGGTCTGCTAGGCTCCAATGATCATCGGACCCAAAGTCATAGGAAATGCTGTCAAGAAGCTGGGCTTCTTCCCATGAGTCAGCAGGAGCCATGCTGGGCCTGGGAGGAGAAACAAGAAGCCAATTCACCCTTCCCGTGAGCCAAGTGGTACCCGGGCTGGGAGACAAGAACATTCCACCTCCACCCCGTAAGCAACTGGCTGATTCGGAGGAACACAGGCTGAGCTAATAGCAACCGAGGCACAAAACTACTTAATGCTTGTACTGTTTGATTGACTTTGCAGGCCGAAGGCCAGTGTCTGGGCATCCATGGAGAGGATAACAATATGCAACATAGCAGCTATGGGGGATTCTTTTCTACCTTGGTTTTGAAATCCAATATTGTTCTCACTATTTGGTTTTGTTCTGTTTTATTCAATGTTGTTTTGATTGGGTTTTATACTGTTCTGTTTTGTTTGACTTTATTTTGCCTGATGTGATGGGCAGCTATTTTGAAGGTACCATACACCTAACAAGAGGTATATGGTAGCCACTGTTGATTTCCTATTATACTGTTTTGAAATCCTATATCACTCACTTTTTTGTTTTGTTGGCTTTATTCTACTTTATTTTGTTTGGCTTTATTCTCTTTAAAATGCACTTTCATTCTTTTCTTTTGATAGATTTTATTGTTTGGTTTTATTATGTCTGATGGTATGGACAGCTATTTTGATGAAAACAAGAAATATTATGATAGTCATTGTTGATTTCCTATTATCTTGCTTTGAAGTCCTGTATTGCTTTCATAGTTTTGTTCTGATTAGCCTTATTTTGTCTATATTCCCTATAAAATAAAATAAAAAGAAGCCAGGCTTGGTGGTGCACACCTATAACCCTGGCACTCATGAGGACCATGAGTTTGAACTGGGCCTGGGCAACATTGTGACTTAGCCAAACCCTGTCTCAAAACTTTAAAAAATAGCCAGAGAGGGAGCTCAATGTGAAGGCCCTGAGCTCAACCACCAGGACTGCAAAAATAGATAGTTAAATAAATCAATAATTTAGGAAAATGCTTTCCCCAAAGAAGTAGCCTAAATGTATCTAACTGGCTTGCTATAGGCCCCTCCTCGGTTTTGGAGGTGTCAGTGAACGGTAAGAACGTTGGGCACTGGCAGATGGGCAGCAGGCTGTTCTTTCTGGGTGTGACCTCTGCACCAAGGCTGGACAGGAATGTGGTCCTTCCCAGGCGTGAACACATCCTGGGGTCAAAGGCAGACACCAGCACATGGAGAGGCTGGAGACTGCTGACCGCCCCAGTCGGCCACCGCTGGAGACGTCCCTGGATCGTTTGTGCCCAAACATTTTCACTCCTCTGTTGACTGGGTGGCCTTTGTGTCGGTGTTGTCAGCACTCGAGGAGCTGCTTTAAAAGGATTCGGCAGTGAAAAATGTCAATAAAGCCACCCCCACCTCCCTGACCTCTCAGCCCCACGTGACTCTGCCTAGTTTCTGGCGTGGCTTTGCCCAATCCAGATGAACTCAGTTTCCCAGTCTAACGAAGGAGGCCCTAGCTAAGAGCTTGGCTGCCCCTTCGGGTAAAGTGGTAAACACGCAGACAAGCAGACCACGGTCACACCCCCTCTCACTGAGCCTAAAAAATATACTGGTTATGTCTGTACTCCAGGACCTTTGCATGTGCTGTTTTCACTTTCTGGAATGAACCTCGTGTAGAGATCTGCTGAACCCTACTCTTTCATTCCCTTTTAGTGTTTGCTCGATGCTGTGTTCTCAATGAGCCCTTCACCAACACTCAAGCAACTTAAAATAGAAACCCCCCTGTCCTACACTCTCTGTACACCTGCCATGGCAGATTTCTTTCTTTCTGTCTTTCTTTCTTTCTTTCTTTCTTTCTTTCTTTCTTTCTTTCTTTCTTCCTTCCTTCCTTCCTTTCTTCCTTCCTTCCTTTCTTCCTTTCTGTCCTGGAGCTTGAACCCAGGGCCTTTACACTGAGCCCCAGTCCTTTTTAAATTTTATTTTGAGGCAGCATCTCACAAAATTGTAAACTTGCAATCCTCCTGCCTCAGCGTCCTGAGGAGCTGGATCACAGGCCGGGAAGTGCTCACTACTAGCTCTTCTGATAACTCATACTACACTTCTGAGACTTCTGATCTGCTTCCCTCTCATGGGGCTCTCGCCGGTGTTAACTGGGCACCTCTGACGCTTCTTTCTTCCTCTCAGCTCATCCCCGTCCTTCACTGGCTTTGGAAGCCACGTCCTTGTCCAGATAATTACAAAGTTACTCCAGAAAACAGTTCTATCTTGCATTGAACCGAACCCTTTTTTTCTTTAAAAGGCACTAAACCCCCTGCTGAATCCTTCAGTGTAATGAAATTAGTTTTCCAAAGCCACGGCGGAAGCTAATTTGTGTATTGCTGTCAGTGGAAAGCTTGGGAATTAATTGCCTTTGCTAACCTTGCTGAGCTCCAACCACGAAACGTTTAGTGTGCAAGCGCCTGACTCCCTCACCGTGGGGTCTGCAGGCCGCGAGCTCCGCCCTCCAGGAGGAGGGGGATCCTCACTGGTTTTGAGATCAAGATGGGGATGAACTGAGCAGGGGGAGACGCAGACTGGGGCATCTAGAAACAGCTCTGGAGTGCTTTGGTCGGGCTTTTTTTTCAGAGCCCTTTGGGGGAGGATGGAGTTTGAGTAATTGTAATCACGCAAGTCATGCAGAAATTATCCTCATAGAAAATGTAAGATTTACTAATACGGCCAATATTCCTGTTGGCCACACCCCTCCGTCTGATATTTTCTGTCGTATGTTAGTTTTTTTTAATTTTTATTTTTGTGACACAGGGGATTGAACCCAGGGCCTTTGTACCGAGCTATATCCCCGGCCCATTCTTATTTTTTATTTTGAGACAGCAAAGTTACTAAATGGTCCAGTCTGAGTTCAAGCTTGCAATCCTCTTGCCTCAGCCTCCTGGAGTGCTGGGATTTCAGGCTTGCACATCCGTGCCCGGCTCCAGATGGTTTGTTAATGCATGTGTTTATTAAATGACAGACCATTTGATGGCAGAGGCACGGGCTGCAAGCTGCACCATAAGGGGACTTCGTTGTTCTGTAAACCTCACGTGGCGCATTTACAAAGTAGCTGAGTCCAGTAGGGGGGTGTCACAAGGTCCCCCTCACCCATGCGGCGCTATTTTGTGACACTGTGTCCCATAAATGTAGCTGGCGACGCTGTACACGACTTGTTTTTCCCACCCAATATTCAGGTCTGGAGTGTTTCCAGGTACATTTCTCAGACTTCTGGGCATCGCCCTGGTTTTCCACAGCACAGGGGACCTGTGGCTGCTGAAGCACTCCTACCGTTGAATGATTAGGCCGCTGCAGACCGCACCACGGTGCACGTTCTCCTTCTCCGGCCGCCGCTGAGACGCTACCTGATACATCCTGGGCGATGCCCTGGTTCAGGTCCCACACACACACCTCATTTATCTTCACGATGGCTTCGAACCTTGGGATCTGAAGGGCGCCCCAGCCT